GGAGGATATGTCGACGAATAGTTTTTATCAGTCTTTTTCACGACTCTGACCTTAATGAATTCTTCTTCGGACTTTCGAATCAGTCGTTTTCGCGGCTACCTTGTAACGGTGCCGGTGGATTCGACCTGCACCGTGCGTTCCCCATCTCTCCCTACCATCGGCATGGATTCATGGCAGACCTAAAGCACATAATTCACGTGCCTGATGCATGCCTGTATGTTTTCAGCATCGCCACCGCAACGAGCAAGAGGAAGAAGGATAGAGAGAGGCAATGGCATTGGTCGGCAAGAGCGCCTGTTACTATGCGCTCTTATAGGAGAGAAAGAGAGAGAGTGAGAGAAAGAGAGAGATAAGAGAGAAAGAAAGAATACGATTAGTGCAGGCAGGCGCGTGACACTAGCCGCACTTGACGGTGCCGCGTGCCGCCGATTAGGCAAGAGAGTGGGGAGAGCGTGAGAAGCAGTCTCTCACGCACTCGGAAGCGTACTCGCGACGGGCAGTAGAAAGTGGCCATTAGTAGAGAGAGGTGTGCTGACCCCCTGCAGTCAACCGCAAAGAAAGGATTAGAGGAAACCGAGACGACATCAGTATCGGCTACGGATCTAGCTAATCTTCCGCCGAGTTCTTCCGACCACGGACAGATTTGCCTGTAATCGGACGCCATCACCATCTTCGGCGAGGCCCTGCATCGAAGATCGTCAATCGTCAGGTCAATTTCTAATCTCTCTCTCTCTCTCTCTCTCTAATTCTCACTCTAAGGCTACTCACGGCTTGTGCGCTGTGCCAGGCTCTCACGGGCCGGCGCGGCTGGTTCGGTTATTAGCCTAAGTTAATTTATATTGAGTCGGTATCGAGATGGCAAGGCGCTAACGTGCCGGCCATCTCTTTTAGCGATCGTAGATTGTAGTGTAGATAATAAGACGCGCGTTTGAATGTCCGAACTGTATGCTCAGGGTAGCATGATGTAATAAAGGGTTTATTAAGATATGAGGAATGATTATTGCGTCCACCTTTCTCTTCACCTTGTCAGGAGCGATATACCGCCTCCCTTGCCCTCCCCCTTCTAAATAATTAGTAATAGCGATAGGTGCATCGGCGTTGCAAGCCGACTCTATTACAACCTTTCCAGGGAGGTTTTATCAACGAGCAGTTTTTATCATTCGTTATCACGACTCTGCTCTTGGTCAGTTTTTCGCCGGACTTTCGAATCAGTCGTTTTAACGGCTACATTTCCAGTGAAGATTGGTCTACGAGTAGTTTTCATCAGTCATTTTCACGACTCTGACATTAATGAATTCTTCTTCGGCCTTTTGAATCAGTAGTTTTTACGACCGTATTTCCAGGGAGGATTTGTCGACAAGTAGTTCTCTTGGTGTAATCTTTTTTGCACTTTCGGAACAGCCGTTTTAACAGCTACCAATACAGGGAGGATTTATCGATGAATAGCTTTCATCAGTCGTGTTCACGACTCTGCTCTTGGTAAGTTCTTCGCCGGACTTTCAAATCAGTCGTTTTCACGGCTATATTTCCAGGGAGGATTCGTCGACGAGTAGTTTTCATCCGTCGTTTTCACGACTCTAACCTTAATGAATTCTTCTTCGGACTTTCGAATCAGTTGTTATCACGGCTACAAATCCAGGGAAGATCTATTGATGAAAAGCTTTAATCAGTCGTCTTCAGGACTCTGCTCTTGGTGAGTTCTTCTTCGGACTTTCGAATTAGTTGTTTTCGCGGCTATCTTTTCAGGAGGATTTATTAACGAGCAGTTTTCATCAGTCGTTATCACGACTCTGCTTTTGGTAAGTTCTTCTTTGGAGTCTTTATCAGATGTTCTCATAGCTACCTTGAATTATGTATAGTATATTCTATAAGCCATTTTCACATTTTAGTTCCCTTTATAATGACGTTGGTATGTTGTCAAATGGCCGAGACAATTTTTGTTACATCTGCTGTCGTTTTATGTTTTCGAAGCAAAAAATTGACATCAATGAAAATATCAAACAGTTTTCAAGAGATATATCTATATTTCTATTTCAAGTTAAAATAAACCATAGATTGCACACAAAACTTGTAAGTCCGGTGTTGAATAATGCCACAGATACAGTTACGTTTTTCAAAACACCAATGTTGTGGCGGAATAGTTATAGTCACGATGACTGCTATTTATGTTCAATAAAAACTACTGGCTTCAATTCTATAATTCTCATAAAATAGTGTATCTAAATGTATCAAGTGTTACGAAACCCGTGATGATGGAACCTGATTATATTCCTCCTAACCCTTAAATTTGGAAGAAAAATGCTGATACCAATATGGGGGGGGGAGGGTGAGAAAAGAGAACTGCAGGAGTCTGCAGATAGTGATTCTTATGGTTGTCAAGATTCTAAATCTCTACCGATTTTTTTTGACCAAGCTGCTCTAAATGACTTAGTTCGAGACTTCACCTTGCCCATAGACAAATCTGAACTACTGCGCTCACGGCAAAAGAGAGAATTCTTCTTGCCTCTGAAACCATATTTTCTTGGTAGAGTCATTTACTTCGTTCTTTTCCCAAAATGAGAACTATGTTTATTGCAATAATGTTCATAGTTTAATACAAAAATTTAGACTGACATGTGATCCTGCTGATTGGAGGTTGTTTATCAATTCCTATAAAAGGAGTTTGAAAGAAGTTTTGTTACATAACTCTAATAAATATGTTCCTTTGCCTATTGCTCATTCCACTCACTTGAAAGAGTCATATGTAAATTTACATAGTATTCTCCAAGCTATTCAATATAAAAGTCACAAATGGTTTGTATATAGAGATTTAAAAATCGCCGTTATGCTTCTTGGGCAACTGTCAGGGTTTAAAAAGCACTCATGTTTCATATGTTTATGCGATACCAGATAAAGGGAGCACCACTATGTTAAAAAAGATTGGTCTGCTCGTACTTACGTCAAAAAAGGCGATCCTAATATCTTAAGAAATCCATTGATTAATGCAAAAATAATACTAGTACTGTCAGTACATATTAAATTGGAAATGATAAAGCAATTTGTGAAAGCTCTTGATAAAAATAATGTTTGCTTCAAGTACCTCGTTAAAAAATATCCTAACCTGAGTGATGCAAAGTTAAAAGAAGGTATATTTTATAATAGGGCCTCAGATTCGTGATTTAATGAAAACAACTTATTTCGAAAAGGTGATGAGGGTAAAGGTAAATGAAGCCTGGATAAGTTTCAAAAAAGTTGTGAATGGATTTGTGAGTAAGAAAAAAGCTCATAATTATCAAGAACTGAAAAGTGGAATGATAACAAGCTACAAGAATTTAGGTTGTAATATGAGCATAATGGTCCACTATTTGCATTCTCATTTGAATTGGTTTCCTTAAAATTTAACTCATGTTAACGAAAAGCAGGGTGAGCGTTTTCATCAAGACATAGTAGGAATGGAAAGGCGTTATCATGGAAAATGGCTACAGCTATATTAGCTGAATGTTACTGGTCACTTCAACGCGATGAGCCACATAAACACTATAAAAGGCGATCTGGCACAAGATCTCTTGAACAAAAGCAAACGAGATTCCACAAAAGTCAAGAAAATTAGATATGCTTAGCAACAGTCGTACGCTTAAATATTTAGTGCTCCAGGATAAAAAATATTGTTTCAAGGATAACATATAGGGTTACTTTCTGCCTATCTAGCATTTAAACCCAATCTTCTTTACTTCTAACCATCATTTTCGTAACATTATTGACCGTAATGCCTATGCCTATAAATTTTTTTAGATGCTGTTTCTATCCTCATTCTAAATACGGGTACTCAAGGGAAGTGCACTCTAGGCTGTACCTTCCGCGACCATAGTGTACGCAGTATGGAGATCCAATCGCTTTCCGCCATCTATCGCTTCTGCTTAGAATCAACCGTCTTATCACTTTCCACCCTAGCTAACTATACCCTATTGTCGTTCCTGCATCTCTTATATATCCTCTTACGCTGGCAAGTTAGAAAATCTACCGAGTTGAGTTAAGTAATTAGGGTGTAAGGGTCTGGGGTTATTGCGTCACAGGTTACAGAGTTCGATGGATAAGGATATAGGGATTTAAGAGTTTGGGGCTATGGCGTCGTAGTTTACAGTGCTCAGAGGTTATGGAAATTAGGGTATAAAGGCGTGAAATAAATAGCCTTGCAGGTGCCATATGTGCGCATCCGGGAAATTGGCTGTTTCGGGGCTACTAAAATATTTGATTCCAATAAACGATATCTGAATGAAAAAAAAAGATATCTCAAATCTTAAATATGGAATTTAAAAGGTATGGATATACCTTTCAGATGGCTTGCCCCATTTTCAGAAGAAAAATTTTTCCGCCTTGTTATGGGACTTCAAATATACTAAAAAACTGACTTTTTTGCCCTTTTAGGTTAGGATCTTTAAAAAACCTGACGTGATGGACAAATTCTGACTCCAGATTCGAATTCTACGCAAAAAATTACTTCGAAAATGACCTTCCATTGGCCAACAACAGAACCATGCAGATCTGTGTAATCGTTGGCAATAAATATATGTTTATTGATTGCAAATTACCGGAGTTATTTTTTTTATCTTGATCCTGTAATCTTTCCAATTTCAGACCCTCTCACATTCACGAACGTCGTAACCCACATGCCCGTCGGATTACGTAGTAGTTGGAACATTAATGTCTCTTGTCCCTGTGTTAACAATTTTTTTAATAAAGACGCAGGTTGGATTTAAATTCAAAAATTTGACTCTCCCTTGACAATTCAGGAAATAATTAAAAATATTTTAAATTGTAATTTTTGTAAACACATTAACTTAATTTTTAACTTGTGATTTTTGTGATTATACATAATTTTATGTGCATTTAACATACAATACTATAAAATGGTGATAATTTTATATGTATACGACATATATTACTACAGAATGTAGTATTATAATTATATACAGATATATAATTCATATACAAATACGTAAATTAACTCTAATATTTTTTAGGAGACATATTAGCAATCATAGAAAATTTACTTAATGAAGATCAGATGTCTGATAATGAATACACAGCATGGTCAAGAACAACAACTCCAGCATCATATACATCAGATAGCTCTGAAACAGTGACATATTTGCCAAAACTGAATAATACTTATTATCTGTCGTCACCAAATACGAAACCTAGATTTCTCACTGCTCCATACGGTGGCTCAGGGTATTTATCAACTATGATACGACCACACAATATACAAAGTTTTAGTACTTTGAAAAGTCTTCATTCAGAATCATGTATTGATAATCTTAGCGACAAATCTTGTAATTCTGAATAAAATTATATTATATCTAGTAAAATCATATAAAAAAATATATGTAAAAGCTTGGGAAAAATAATCTAGTAATCTACTCTGTATGCTTACACTTTGCTTAATTTTCTTCCAAAAAATAATTTCATTATCTAAATAAATATTATTTTTTATTTGTCTAAGCGCTGTGATCATAAAGCATTACATTTGCATAATTGAAAATTCAATACATTTATTTAGAAAATTATTTTCATTTATTCTATACAATAGCTGTTCTGATACTAATTTTTAGTCGGTGATATAACTAAATAAATTACTTCAATTCCTTGTTCTAAACTCCATAATTTATTTTAAATATACTGAATATATATCAATATTTATTGGTCTTATCGAAAAGAAAAATTTTGGAGGTATTATCCGCCGGCCAAATTTTATTATAGCTTATAATCTGATGACTCGATTGTTCAATTTGTTTGACCTCGAAGAGAATTTCGTATCAGCAAACCTTTTCTCTTCGACCATTGTAGAAGCTTCGATTCCCACTCAAAGCAATTTTTTTTTTATGATGAATAATTAAATATTTCGAAATATCTGAAATATTACAGCAAATATCTGGAACTTTAGCCCTGAACAATTTGGATAATTAGTTTAGTAGAAATTCCAAGTTAAATACAATCAGCACAGAAATTCAAGTCAACTATAAGAAAGAATTTATAAGCCTCGTGTATATCAAGTTCTTTGAAATTTAATACAAATATGGTGTGTGAATATTGAATAAATAAAGGATATGGATATATTTTTATAAGATTTTTATCAAGTATAATTAGGCTCGTATTTATCCGGCATAAAAACCCCAGTTATAAGTAGGGAAAAGCCATCTAACTATGACCAAATACAATCGACAAATGTACAGAGAGTTACGCTACTTATTTACAATTAATAAATTTTGGCAGGCTCGCTTTGCTTGTGAATGGCCATTCAAATTAAAACTACTCGCTTACCACACGACGCTAATTGCACCTTGTGCGAGAAGGAAAGTTGTCTTGGTTACGGGCACGGCCTGCACTATGCTGTCCCTATGAGTAGGGCCGAGTTGCTGCTGTTTGAGCTGCCCAAGGTCGGAGACGCCTCAGAGGATACCACGCATATTCTCAGCTAGGTCAAAGGATGCTGGTAGCCCTTATTGCGATCTCAGGTTCGCCAAGTCACTTAACAGAATAAAAAGCACGTACTCACACGCAACTGTTGTCCACAGAACGTGATGTATAGTAAAGCCAGGTACTCGCACTCACATTCAGTACACGCGTTACTAGTGAAAGCTATTACTATTAGATATCATAACGAGGTAAAGAACTGAAAGGCAGCTAGTTAACTGAGAGAGCAACTAGGTAACTGAGAGAGAGAGCAACGAGGTGCAAGGATCGAGTTCTCGAGAATAACTGACTGCTTCCTCCATCCTGGAGGAGGATCAGAGAATTTTCTCCCGCATTGGGCCTGTTGGTGAGACCAATTAGAGCTGAAAGGGTTATAGTGCCGAATTTCCCACCAAATGTTTACCTGCGCGACAATTGTCGGATGACCATACTCTTTTTTTTTTATTGCATGGCGCGCGCACCGCTGGAACTGTCGCACGTGTTTATATTCTGGGGTTTTCCCAACCGCAAAAAAAACCAATTAAGCGACAAAGGGCAGCATATCCAAATGAACTTTCACTTTTACAGCAACCAAAAAAAATGTTATAAATTATTGCTCTCTACTCTCGTGCTACGCACATCCGCGAACAAGTCCCTTTTTTAATCATAAACACTTGTACATTTCTGTGAACATATTTCATACTATATGGTCCTAGTGCGTTGATAGCCGAAATGGCTAACACGTGCTGCTTGATTTCATTTTTGGCGTCCCGGGTTCCAGTCCTTATAGATGCCTTTTTTTTCTCGTCAAGTAATTGCATTTTTTTTCTCACAATTAACTTATATGAAGGCGAGATTAATAAAAAAGACAAACATAAGTTTTTTTATTATTTTCTATTTATTCCCTTCTTGCCATTGTATTAAGCGTCTCGGGTCGGGTTCAATGCCTACTCAATGTTATTTTTTTTTTTTATTTTAACTTTTTTATCGAGGATATATCCAACTCCTTAAACGTTAACTCGTGCGCTACTCGATTTCCTCTTTGCCATTCCAGGTTCGAATGTCGCTCGAAGTACTTTTTTTTTGTTGCTTCTTTTATTTATCTTAGAATGAATTAATCTTTTTTTATATTATTAAGTATATTACGTTAATTTATTGATTATATTAATTAATTTTCCATTAACTTTCATATTAATTATCATTCTATATCAATTATTTCGCAATTTTATTATATTTTAATCATAAATCCTTACGCTTCATAATGAATATAAATGCACTCATACACAAAATGTATAAACTTTGAACTGCGAAACTTCGTTTTTGCCAGAAACTTTGTTATTGTAGAAAAACAAAGTTCGGACTAATTTTTTTTACTTAGAAATCAGTTAATTTATCTCGGAATGTTACGCCACTCCTTTAAATTATTTTCTTCTTTATTAATAATAATATTACTTCGATCATTTGCATTATATCCATCTTGTAGATTTTACAAAAATGAAATATTTTTTGTTTATTTAATCAATCAAAAACTGGCCGAGAAACAGCGCGATGAAGTTTTCCGTGACGTCACGATAACATAGTATTTGCATATATCCAAATAGTCGTGGGTACATTTGGCACGCCTTAACTTGATGAATTTTCTATTAATCGAAAAAAGAAAAAATACGTGTCTTTTATTTTTAGAATGCATATGAAGCTATTGTAAAAATTATAAAATAATCCATGTGACGGTGTTGAAATACCATTTCCACAAGAAGCCTTGGTAAGTTTTAGGGGCATTTAAATTACTATATATTCGGCCATTGCTACTAATATTTGCCTCCATCTCTTCCTTCTTGGCTTTAAAGGACATTTGAGTCTCTTTTGTATCGCCCGTTATTGATTTTTCGAAAAAAATAGATTCGACGTGCCTCCGTCTCCACGCAAAAATTAAAGCAGTTTGGTCTAATTGTTCAATTCATGTATTTCATCAATTAAATTCATGTATTCCATCAAGGAAGTATACTTGCGAGGTCATCATTGTAGATATTTGTAGCAATATATAATGCGATATCGAGTACTTGTTTGACATTGGAATAAGACTTAGTGGCCATAGATTAGACTATCACATTAAAAATTTTCTCCTGTTTTGAGAAAAACTGCCCAATGCGTAAGTAGATCGTCACTGCTTAATTGTTTATAAATTGGTGAATTGCTTTATAATGATTTTCAGAAAGAGGTAGTTATACGTAAGATATTCTCCAGTAGTTTACGCCAAATCCATTTCAACTCAAGTAGTTTGGAATTGTCAACAAAAGTTTTCAAACTTAAAAGGCTTGTTCTACTCGGAAAACCAGATGGTAAGTATTTTTTATATTGATATTTTCGAAATTTCATTTTTCATGACTATTTAAAGTTAAGATTTTTCATTTCTAATTTCACAAAAAAAAATATTTTATTCCTTGAATCCCGTGCCATTCACTGCGACTTCGGACTTTTTAACTGTCACTGGGATATCAGATATATCTGTAAGTATATTTTTTGATGCCGTTAAAAATGAAAAATTTCGAAAAATAAAATGGTTATAGCCATTTAAAAAAAAACAAACGAAAAATGCGTTTCTCTCAAAAAGACCTTTTTTGTGCTGTGCAACGGTAGTCGATTCGATTAATAAATACGTTCGCGATTCGGTAGCACTCATGATACTAGAGCGAACGTCTAAGAGAGAGAGGGGACGTGCGAGAATTCAATTTTTCAGTTAAGCCTCGGCTGTTGTGCGTTAGAGTACCGCCAAATAGTTTTCCTGGTTTTTTTGGATACGTGCGCGAGTGAACGCAAACAGACAATAAAAGTAGCAGCAAAACACAGCAGCAGCGAACAACAACATTGATTAAGTGCAGCAGTCACCAATCTTAGTGATCGAGGCAGCACAGCTGGTTCCACAGGAGCACCAATTATTTTGCTGAACAACAATTACGGCTGATCACCGTAATTGCACCGCAGGTTAGGTGCACCTTTCTGCGCGACAAAATACTTACGAGGGTATTTTGTCTATCGCAACTGTTTGTGTGTTCGCGCCGAGCGTTAGTTTTCACGGAAGAATTTTGAATTCTCTCTCTCTCCCCGTATTATTGTAACAATTTGTTAATCATATTCGCGTACGTAAGTCTTTCAGCTCAACGAAGACTGTAGTTTTAGTAATAAACGATATTAATTTTATTCGCCGCATTACATTATTTCATTCTCTTTTAGTATAAGGACTGTGTCACCGGTTATTTTAAAACCGATTTCATCTAGGGGATAGTTGGATAAACAGTAGGTTTATCGCTCACACCTAAGATAAATCGAGTGTCACAAGTCAGGTGACATAAGGTGAGTTCAACCCTGTAGGGAAAGGAGACAGCGGAACGAAAGTATCAAACGTTAAGGCGAATACACGTATACTCATACGTGTTTAACGGAGCAGCGATTAGCTCTGCATTGTGGGAGTTTGTTCATTAACACACCTTATTTGTACCAGCTAATCCACCCCGTTACAGCTGATAAAAATATATTTGATAACTTACAAGCCGTATTCTAGAATCCCATAGTTAGTTTTAACGATTTATTTTTTTAGGAACAGAAAAAAATTTTCATTTAAAATTTTTTTCTTTTAAAATTTTTTTTCTACTTTCAACTTTATGATGTTTGAATACTCGTATATCACCCCTTCCCTTGTTCCATCGTTCACCAGTACCTTTCGTACAGGAAAAATCCGGCATTAAGTTAGCATTCAAAATCTTGACTCATAAAAACCTGTACATTTTATTATGTTACAAATGAACTCCTACCAATGCTTCATTTAAAATATTGCGTGAAATATAATTTTTAAACAATACGAGTATATCATTGCAAACAAAGAAAGTTGGTACAACA